GGGGGTCCGGACCCCCCATGCTCGCGCAGAAAACGCATCTGAGGGGTGCTAATTTCAAAAAAATTAGAACCCCCCTTCGCGTGCTCCTAATTCACCCACCTTTCGAAAATCCTGCGTACGCCACTGATCCCACGCAGGCGTCGCGTGTATTATAGGCGTAAATTTACATATTAGGTGCGTTCACACTGGCGCGAATTAGCGGGCCGGTTTTTGCAGCCCGCTCGAAAAACTGAGCTTTTTACAAGTGTGAACGCAATTAGCTCACTAAATCCCGCTCAAAATAGCGCGCTGCAAAGAACACTTCCGACTGCACTAATTTGGAATCAGCGCGCTTATTTGCACCGCGGCATGATATTTGCACCGCGGCATGATATTTGCACCGCGGCGATTAGCGAGATATTCGCCTGTGTGAACAACGACACAATTAGCTCACTATTATCTCCGCTATTAGCGGGCTGAGCAGCGCGGTTTTTCTTGTGTGTGAACGCGCCTATTGTGCTGTTAAGTTGAATTTAAGTTTCGGCTGAAATACGGTCATTTGGCTGGCTAACATTTCACCGTGTTCTTGACGCCGTGGGCGATACCATCCGCGAGATGGGAGTAACTGGAATAAGTGATTACTTTTATTCACTTAATGTTACTGCCTGACACAGCAGATGAAAGGTCAGCATAAAGAACCGGCAACTGTTTATTATTATTATTAAAATTTATTGCATGTAATTCAACTACAAATACATCGGCTACTGAAGACATTTACTGAAGTCTTTTTCATGGAGAAAAAATCTGATAACTGTAAGTGTTGAGCAATTAAAATAATAAAATTTTTGAGTGATACAGTACATTCTGTGATACATGTTACATCAAAGCTTTACATATTGTCACAGGACTCTGACAGGAATCTACGTGAATGACAATATGAAACGACTGTTGTGTACATCGGTAATCGGCGAGCTATAGCGGCTGTTTAATCTGCTGTCGGCACTCGTGTAAAACAACTATTTTTTTACTTTATTTATGAATCTAAGGTATATATGATGACTCTAAAAAGGTAAAACTACTTGTCACATTGTCATTGAAAAAATAATTCACACTTTTGTGGGAACCATGTGTCAGTAAGTAGCATTACTGCATGTGTATGTAATAGTAAAAAACTATAATCAAACTAATCTATAATCAGTAGAGCCAACTGAATGCTTACATCATGATCACATGTGGATAAAATCGCATATTAAAACCATAAACTAAACAATGAGTGTAGATGATATGTACCATGTGTGTGACGTATATATATATATATATATATATATATACAGTTTATTTACGTGAGCAAATATAAAAATACAGTATATTGGCCGGTATTTCTATTGAGTAGTCGTTTCGAGAGGATCCCTACACCATTACCACACTCAGTGATTGTGACACGATCACATGTGTAACACCAGCATGCACAGAAGAACTGTAGGGGCTACATGACGGACCATTATGAGCCCGAGAGCTCCGGCAGACTGTGTGTTTAGAGCATGTTCCAGAGTCCTGCCAAATATCATGACGGTAAGAAGGGAGCAGTAGAGCGTAACAAGCCATCCCATCTTCGATTATCGAGCGATAACCTTCTTCCTCAGGTATTAGCAGGAATAGAATATGTATGTATGGTTTTCACGCAGAATCTCAAACGATCACCCAAGTATACAGGATGCACTGTGTAATACAATGAACATAATATATATATTGAGTAGAAGTATATATATATATATCATATAATGCGCCCCGAGATCTTTGGCAATAGGTTCACCAAAGACCGGTTATGGTAATATATATATATACGCTATTCAACGAATCGACAGTCAAGATGGTACGATGTGATGTCTTCCAGAATAATTAAACCTTTGGTTTGATTAATTACATCATTTGTATCAAATTCCATTTGCGTTTCTATGACACGAGTTCATGCATAATTATACTTCCATTATCTAAGTATTACTTTCTTTCGCACAGAAGCTTAACAACCTTCAGCACATTTTGTTCACGTGAGAACATAACGAGACGTGTTTAACACATAAAAATAGGTGGAACTGCACTCTGGTGTTACTGCTACTACACACTGAACTAGAAATAGAATACCTATAGAGTTCAGCACCACCTACATGGAAATATTAGGAAAGGTAAATTAATTAAATTACAAAAGTAATAAATAAGTTCCAGATGTATATCAAAAACCGATTGTACTATTAGTTTACAAACAGCCCATGCTGATTACAACTAGGTAGATGACTAACTACATACGGCGTTTGTACACCTATGGCAAAACATTTTTCCATCGGTTTTCCAGATCTATTTGCTATGACCACGACATTTTAACCCAATACAATCTTTGTACCTCATATCGCCCAACCAACAATTAGTGCACAAATTCTTGCATGAAGAAGCAAATTCTATTATCTCTTATAGAAGACAAACATGACCTTAATTTCAAAGAATTTCCAGGGCCAAACACAACAATAGCTTATTTTCTAACACTTTCCAGGACATTCCAAACCTGAAAAATGGGCATTTAACATTTCATAACTTTCCAGGTTTTTCCAGGGCATCTATGAACCCTGCAACCTTTTACTTTGATTCATTTCTTCATATATCTCATTGGAAAACAAGGGGAGAGTGAACAGAGAGAAATATATATAAAGATCAGGAGTGTATCAATATTGATACACTCCTGTAAAGATGAACAAGCTCTTGAAAACTATCACTAGTTACAAGTAGTTTCAAACACACTGCAATTGCAAGTCATCTGGAAACCTCTGCAAATACTGATACCATATACAAATAAACAATTTATCTTCTTGCAGTTATCAGCAGATATAAACCGTTTGATTATGTGATACATGTAGAACTATCCCATTACTATAGTTAACACAATAAATACAAGAATATTACCATATTCTTGCTATGACTCACAATATGCTCTCATATTATACAAAAAGGCATTTGCTATACCATGGAGTTAGAATCTCCAGCTATCCAGGTCACCATCTATAACGAGATAAAAAATGTATATTGGTAATGCATATTTATGTTTAAATATGGTAAAGTGCACAGTGTAGACATCTATGAAAATACATTTAAAATCAGAGAAAGGTAGCAAACAATTGCATATACACCTAGGCCAGACAATACAGTTAAAGAAAGTCACGCACAGATGTAAGGAAAAGACCATTTTAACTCGTAAGAACATTTGATTCGACTTACCATACTTATAAATGGTAGGTTAAGAAAAGTTCCTATCACAGGAACCCGGCGCAAGAAATTCACAGCTACAGGCAAGAATCCACTAAAACAAAATTATATGTATACATTAACAGGGTGCAAAATTAACGGGAGTCCGGAGTCAAATACTCCCCGATTTACTGTCGGACTCCCTGATTTGACACATGCAGCAGTCCGTGTGACTCCCTGAAAATTCTGCCTTACTAACTAGCCTCGTGGAGTTACCGTATTTTTGCCAAAGAAAATTTGGCAGACGTGCAACCGCATGAATCTTAAAAATAAGCACATGCGTTATTGTTAATATCTTTCATTTTGAACGCCAGACTGCGGACTCCCTCATTTTGCTGCGGACTCCCTCTTTTTGATGGTAGGGAGTCCGTTGGACTCCCGTGTTCAAAAGTTAATTTCTACCCCTGCATTAACAATGCTACTTTCACAAGAGCAAAAGTATGATCACTTAGCACTAGAGTAAGGTGGAACGCAAGCTGTGCTTATTTAGCTCTACAATGGATGGCAACATTCACATACACAAACATTGTTCAGAATATAGTTAAAATGGAATTTCTATTTTGTAAATAACATCTGTTACTTGTTTTTTTTAAACATTTTATGGATTTTGTCTACTGTATATGTCAATATATATATCAGAAGTAGATTATAGGGAAGGAGTGTGACTTCAATAAACAAGGGAAATTCATCATTTACTAGCCTTAGAATAGTAAAGCTAAAGAATACCTACAATTTCCTACGTGTAACTCAACCAACTTGGGCTCAAATCGTACACAGTACATTCGCCTAGCATCGTGCAAAATCGTTTCCTCGTATACACCCGCAATCCGGAGATACAGACTAAAACGTACGACACGATTCTCCATTCTGTTGCCAGCACAACGAATCCATAACCCGCCTAACTTGAAACAATAGGCAGCTACTAACGACTCTTGCGCACTCTTGCGCCCTTGGCGATGCGGTGTGGCTCGCTTGCAGATTGGACATCGACGCAACACTCGACGAGCTAATCTTTGACCTATTTACAGCTGGTATGCCCCACACGCACGCACGCCCACAGCAATAACCAGCAGCTCCAGCTCCAATCTTACCAGACTTAAAATCTTACCTGAACAACAAGAACATCCCGTACAACTCCACAATCATTCCTACGACAGGCCAACCAGCGAGAACTACAAACATTCCAACGAAGAAAAATGTTGTGGCTTTCCATTTGTGCCGCTGGAAGAAGAAGCTAAGGGTTCTCTGAAATCCGATCACAAACGCCAACCCCGACAGGAACAGTATCTATAAAAAAACATTGAAATAATCATTTTGTGAGTAAATAAATTATGCTTCTTTAGAGGTCAATTCAAGATGAATTGGTTATGAAGCATATTATTCAAGTGTCGTTAAATTATAAAAATGTTATAGAAATTGAATTATGGCACACCATTATACATATATAGCAACTTTGCATGCTTACATTTCCTAGCGCTAAAAGCCCTGCATCGAAGAGTAGCAGAACACCAAGAAACAGGAAAGCAATGCCAAACCCTGCGAGGCCAACTCCAATCTCTGAAAATAATTGGTAATAGTATTATGTGCTCATATTTTCTTACAGGTCTATATAATTACTGAATGTAGTCTGAATGAATTACTAAATGTATGTCTACATATTATATTGTCATATAATATGAGGAAGCCATGGCTCTAGGTGATATCTTTGTAGACAGTAGAATGTAAGTTAAATAACAAGAACGAAAACTGAGATGGATGACGTTCTCTCTCCTTAATTCTATTAATACTATTACTAACACTTGTCACTAACGCTAAACCTAATGAGCCATTAGTGGCTTTAAAGTGCAAAGGGGCTGGAGGTACGGCAGCCGTCGTTCGTTGAAGCCCCTTTTGCCGTTTCTCTGCGGGCTGAGGCAATTATTTGCGATCTTCTGATGTAAAGTTTACAATAATGTTAATTCTCATACCTAATTCGAGTGTTTTCTAGCTCATCAAAACTCAAAAATCGTTAATTTATTTCCCAATGCATTATTTCGAAATCTGAATTGGCCGCCGCCATCTTTATCTCGTTTGTATGAAAGCGAATTAACTGCCGTACCTCTAGATACAATAATGTAACCCAACAAGAGCCTATTCTTTTCTTTGGAGGAGCCCCTGAGTGATTCACTCAGGGCGGTTTTATGGTGCGTTTTTCGAGACTAGAACCTCCAAACTGGGTTTATTCTAAACACGAACCTTTCTCTGCTATCCTGGGACTCACTATGTATCACAATACTCTGTATTAAACTAATATAACCTGTTACAAAATTTCGAAGTGACGAGCGGCGATATTTCGAGCACCATTTCTGTTGACCTGTGACCAGTGTTCGAAATTCACGTCGGCCCGTCGCCGACAGTTTCGATGCCGGGCCTACAGCTTCTTGATAAAACAGGCCTGCTGATCCTACAGCTATTTGATCACCGAAAATTCGAAACACTGAGAAACTGTTACCTGTAGAAATCCTTGCTTGCATATTAACTTCCAGGGGTATTTATTTGAAAACTAATCCGTGATAAACTGTGACATACATGTAATGAATATAAGATATTCTGGTATACCATTATAAGTATATGGTATACCAGAACGTACCCTGGTTACTATTTGATATGGTTAGGGTTAGGATTAGGGTTAGGGTTCGGGTTCGGGTTAGGGTTCGGGTTAGGGTTAGGGTTAGGGAGTAGGCGTAGGCGACTCCCTAGACTCGTTAGTGGAGTAGGCGAGGTACGGTCCGGCATATTAGATAGTACCAGGGTACGTTCCGGTATACCGGACCGTACCCAGGATACATAGCCTACCCTAGAGCCCTACCCTACCCTACCATACCCTACGTTCCGGCAGTACCCCGGGGGACATAGACCCTCTCAGCCATAGTAAGCGTACGAGTAGGGTTCGTAATGGTAACCCAGGTTCGTGCCGGAACGTACCCTTGGAACGTCCCGGTATAC